TGACTGGAGTTATATATTTTCCTACCAAAAATATGTAGGAAAGTGGGAGGTTATGTCCTCATCTTTTTTAAAAAGTATCTTTTCTGTTTAAGTTGGGGCATTAAGTAACCATATAAATAATTTAGAAACAAAACCAAAACAAAGGTTGAAAGAAACCTATGTCCATGCTACTGAGTAAGGGGTTCTTTTGTGGGTGATAATGTTTTGGGATTAGATGGTAGGGATAGTTGCCCAACTTTGTAAATATACTAAAATAATCAATGAATTATACATAAAGGGTAAGAGTTATTGCATGTGAATTGTATCTCAATTAAAAAAAACAAGGTCATTAAAATACAATTTTTTTCTTTTTTTCATTTTTTACTATATGGATCTGAGATAGAGGAAGGAGGGCAAAAACAATGACAAAGGAGTATTTTGGTATTTTTTTTTAATCTATGAAGTTCATTTTGGACATGTAGCTATCAAGTAAGTACTGAAATAAGCTAAATGTATGCTACTGCTATCATTAATGTGACTGACTGCCTTTTAAATTCGCAACTAAAATTATTTATAGTTGTAAAAAAGAGAATAATACCTGTTTATTTTTGAAGTTCCTTGCTGCCCATAACCACTTGAAGGCACCTTCTGGTAGAGCAGTTGTCTATTTGTCAAGTGAGTCTGAGGCTTTAGTTGGGGCACAATTGATTCAATATGATTATAGTTGAGGCATAAGACCTGCAAAAAGAATCCTTTATTAATCAAACATTAAAATATGAATGCTACTGTATCTATGTCTTTGGTTTGCGATTATCACCATCCTAAAAACTATTAAAACAGTATGGATAAAACTTGGACTATACAACATCAGTGTTAAAAATGACATAAATTTTTATATCCCAAGTTGTCTGGATTTGGCTTTGAATGTGTTTTTTTATTATCTGACATGCTAGGAAATGACAATATTTCAAACAAAATAATGGAGACCCTAGAAAGTTGCTCAACTTTCTCAATCTGCACTCCTGACTTCTCCAAGCCTTATTTAGATGAAATAACTGGTTGGAGAGATCGTTATTTCCCTAAGTTTGAAAGGCCTGAGTAGATGGCTGAAAGCTATAAGACAGGAGGTAACGAGGCTGCTTTGGGAACTGCTGTGTCCTCCAAATTCACTCCATACCCATTTACTACAGAGGCAGCCCTTCCATCCCATCTCCTACTGCTGTAGAGGAAGATTCACAGCTCATAAGATAATCACATAAAATTGAAGTCAGCCAAAATAACTTTAGGAAGTAATTCCTTTTTTTGCTTGGTGAAAAAAATACTTTAATAATAATTTCTCTTCTTTAATAACATGAATAACATTTCAATCCAAAGTAAAGAAAATTACAACTTGCACTGAAAACCTTGAAAGAAAAAAAGAAAATTTGTGACTCACCTTCACATTAGGCAGATAGATTAATCCACTGAATGAAGTAAGATTATTGTTCTGTAGATTTACATTAGACACATTTCTAAATTGGTCAACTGGAATCAAATCCACGGTTCTGAATTTAGATAGAGTAAAATGCAGTTATAACTTTAATAGGAAAATTATATAGGTAAATCCCTCACATATAACACCAAAGCCATTTTTAAAACATATAACACCAAAGCCATTTTTAAAATCTCATCTAACAAATTCTATTAAAAATAATTGCTTTAATGTAAAATATATGGGTTAAATGATCAGGTAAATTGACTTCCAAAAAAGTCTATTAGCACAGAAACAAAACACTATCATAAAAGAAACTCTAAAAATAAATGTCTACAATTTCTTTATAAATTCACATACATGTTCATGAAATTTTAGTGAAATTGATATGGTATACTATAAGATTTTCAGGTTGTAAGCTGCAGAGGATATATATGAAATAGGTTTTTTTTCTGGGAAAGAAAAGGAGAAAGTAGGTGAGGTCTTTGAAAACAGAGTTTTCTGTGGGATCTCCTGAAAACTTTTATGGCATTCCACCTTGTAAGGATGTCTAGGTAATTAGTCAGAATGCTTGATTCCTAGTCCATAGCTTTAAAACTGTTTTACTTTCCTTTGAGCTGTAAGGCAGAGGAGCATAAAGCTAAATCATCTTGTCCTAACCACTTTATTTTTTTTTAAATGTGCCAATTTATTTCATTAATTTTTTTATTGAGGTTGAGGTGATGAGCAATATTACATAAGTTTCAGGTGTACAACATACTAATTCATAAGTTTTAAAGATTATATTCCATTTATAGTTATAAAATATTGGCTATATTCCCTATGTTGTACAATATATCCTTGTAGCTTATTTATTTCATACATAGTAGTTTGTACCTCTTACTCCCCTACCCATCTCTTGCCCCTCCTCCCTTCCCTCTTCCCCAGTGGTAACCACTAGTTTGTTTTATAACCATAAGTCTGTTTCTTTTTTTGTTATATTCACTAATTTGTTTTATTTTTTAGATTCTACATATAAGAATATCATACAGCATGTGTCTTTCTCTGTATGACTTATTTCACCTGGCATAATACCCTCCAAATCCACCCATTGTTGTTGGCAAATGGCAAATTCTCATTCTTTTTTATGACTGAGTACTATTCTATTTTGTGTATGTATATATATACCACATCTTCTTTATCCATTCATCTGCTGATGGACACTGAGGTTGCTTCCATAGCTTGGCAATTACAAATAATGCTGCTATAAATATTGGGGTGTATGTATCTTTTCAAATTAGTATTTTTTGTTTTTCAGACAAATACCCAGGAGTGGAATTGCTGGGTCATATGGTAGTTCTAGTTTTAGTTTTTTGACATATCTCCATACTGTTTTCCACAGTGGCTGCACCATTTTACATTTCCACTAACAGTGTATGATGGGTCTTTTTTCTCCACATCCTGGCCAACATTTGTTATTTGTTTTTTAATGATATCCATTTGTTTTTAATGATATCATTTTTTAATGCTATCCATTCTGACAGGTGTGAGATGATATCTCATTGTGGTTTTAATTTGTTTTTCTCTGATGATAATGATGTTGAGCATTTTTTCATGTGCCTGTTGGCCATTTGTGTATCTTCTTTGGAAAATGTCTATTTAGATCTTCTTCCCACTTTTTAATCAGGTTGTTTGTTTTTCTGATATTGAGATATATGAGTTTATATATTTTGGGTATTACCACCTTGTCGGTAAACTTGCAGATATTTTCTCCCATTCAGTTGGTTGTCTTTTCATTTTGTTGATGGTTTCCTTTGCTGTGCAAAAGCCTGACCACATCTTTAAATAAATCCTCAACCCTGAAGTTACAATTACAACATACTTTATCCATTAATAAGTCATTCATTCATTCAACATGTTTTAATTAGTATTTCCTAAGTGCAGACAACATGTTTGGAAAGGCTACAACAAATATGAAAGAGACTGTCTCTGTCCTCAAGAAATGGAATCCAGAAAAACTATAATAAAAAAGGAAAATTGCTGTAATACAGTTAGGTGTAATGGCATTTTAGGGAAAGAAAAGCCTATTTGGGGAAGTCAGGAATGACATCACAGGAGAGAAGGAACTTAAACTGAGACTTAGAGACCTTTTGACATTTGTCAGGCAAATTAGAAAAAAAAGAGTTCTAGGCAGTGGAACAACCACAAGCAAAGGCAGAAACATGAAATGGAATTTTGTGATTGAGATTAAGGAACTAGAATATTTTAGAATTTCTGTACTATAAAGAGTTATGGGGCAGTAAAGATAAGCATTGTAAGAGATAATAATAGGTAATTAAAGGGTCTTCTATGTCATAGAGATTTTAAGTTTTATTCTGTAGACAGTGGAAAGCAACTGAACAATGTTGAGAAGGGAAGTGATCTGATAAAGTTTGCATCTTAGAAAGCAGTATGGATAATAGGTAGATTTGCAGGTGAAGTTAAATAAGACAAAAAACAAAAAGAGTTTCTAAAATAGTTAATTCCCCGACCTAGGACAATGGCAATGACTGTGGAAAGAAGAGGGGAATTATGACACATACTTAAGACACAGACTCTGTACAATGTGGTGGTTAATTAAAAATGGAGGACAAAGGAGAGAGAGAAATGGACCCTAGATTTTTGGTTTGGGCAACCACAGGTGAATGTTGTCTCCTAGATAGTATCTAGAGAGAATGCTCAAATGAGGAGACTAGGTTTGGGCGAAATTAGGGAGTCATCATCATAAATTAAAACTATGGCTAAAGATGTCTGCCAGTGAAGAGTGCAAAATAGAAAAAGAGAGGAGAGAAAAGGATTTATTAACCAAGAGGACAACGATTACATTCATGAGAGCAGCATCAGAGGAATGGTGGCAGTGAAAGCAAAGATACCACTGAATTAGAGTGATACAGTGTGAGGAGCAAACCCAGCATGTGCTAATTTTAAAAGTTGGAAGGGAGGGTATAGCTCAGTGGTAGAGTACATGCTTAGCATGCATTAGGTCCTGAGTTCAATCCCCAGTACCTCTAGCCAAAACAAACAAATAAACCTAATTACCCTCCCAAAAGTAAACAAAATTTTAAAAATACATAAAAGCTTGTTTATAAAAGAAGAGAGAAATATAAGGTCTTAGAAATGGGTTGATGACATTTTAACCATAGTGTGTGATAATAAAAATTATTAATGCATTTCAAAGATGATAAAGTTAGCATAAGATTTTGAAGTAAGGTAGATGATTTTCTGAATTATTGGTAATATTTGGATAAGATATATAAATTATAAACCTGAGAAAAATAATAACTAAGTATTTAATTATAATATCAAATAGCATATAATAAAATGTACCTGATGGATGATGAAGTCCAATTTAATTCTTGCATTTGAGTAAAGTCTGAATGTCCTTGTCGTTCTGCAATCATGTCAGAAGTAAGTCTGCCACCAAACAAATCTTTTGCACACTCAGTCTCTGGTCGTTCCTATATATGAAAATATTTAGAAAGTGATGTCTTCTGTTACAGATGACTAAATGACATTAATTCTTTGGTTTCAGGTCAAAATGGAGAAGACTTATTTCTCCCTATTCATCCTCCTAAGTACAGCTAACTCCCCTGGATATTATATATAAAATAAACATAGGAGTCTGAAAAGTGCAGAGAAGAAGGCAGACCAACTAGGGACCTTGGAACCGAGGAATGACACCATGGTGAGTTACTGTGATAATAATAAGAAATATTAATCCACTGTTCATGGCCTGGCCATATGGTCAGGCAGGAGGGCAGTGGAAACCTGACCTATTAAAAGGATGCCCATATGGGCACAGCCCTATGGAAATTTGAGGGGTACATAAAGTAGGACACGTTTGATGCCCATCAGGAGTCCCTTCCAGGTTTGGGAGACGATTGGAATTGACAAGCAGATATCCCCATATGCTCACTTAAGGTGGCCACCTGGGTCTGTAAGATAGGTGGACACTGGGGGTCCACAACAATGCAGAGATGGGCTGAATCTAGACATACTCCTCTTGAACCCTCTGAGGCACAAAATGCCAATTAGAACCATTCTGTCTGCCAGCAAAAGAGACAGAGACTGCAGATGGCTGTGTGGCAGATCTCCCTGTGGGAAGGCCCTGAATATAGCTGGCAAGTCAGACTGAGGCTGGTAGCCCTGGGGGGCTACAAATGGGTCTTGACAGGAATAGATACTGACTCTGGAATGGGTCTTGCTTACTCAGTATAAATGCAAATGTTCAGAATGCTGTAAAAGAACTAGAACTGAAGATACTGCACCAATTTGGACAGCTGACTATTATTTCTTCAGACCAAGGAACACACTTAACAGCCCATAATCTCCAACAATGGGCAAAAAGATATCTTCCTCAGGGTTGTAGTTTGGTAGAGAATTGGAACGGGCAATTAAAACATTTGTTGTCTAAAATGCGGGAGATAAAAGCATGAAGGGCTGGCTCACACGCCTTCGTGAGAGTGCTCACACTCACTGGGAACATGAGTGGGGCTAAAGGACTGTCTCCACTGGATAGATTGCTGTTTTTCTGATGGATCTGGGGGTGAGGGGCAAGGCTGCTGGTATGACTATGCAATTCTTGCTAAGGAAGGATGATGCTGGTGTAACCACTATACCTTTTGTTCCCCTTCCTCCCCATGTCACCTCAACTGTTTTTTCCTACTGATGCAGTGGTTACAGGACCACAACTGCAACTGTAAGTGCTGGAAACAGGGAAAATTCCTAAGCAAGAAACTGTAACTATGTTTTTAAACCTTGCATCAGAATTCCTAAGGGCCTGATGGAGACAGGTTATGCCTTCGCCCTAACTGGCAAATTGGAGTTAACAGCGAATGTAGCTGTATTTCCTGGTGGCAAAAAATAGCCCACAAGTTTTGCACCTGTATAACCTTGCCGTATCTGAACGGAAGTGGACTGAGGGGAAGTATTTGCTAGACTAGCATTACTGTCTGCAACCTAGACCAGCACAGTGGCTGAACCTAATGTCCCTTCCAAAGATGGAAAAGTATAGGTGTAAATGGAGAGAAACGGGAAGAGCAGTTATGGGTAAAGGAATTAATAAATAGGTTATGTAATGAGGAAATTCTAATATTACATTACCTCAGAAGAGGCTCAGAGCAAGAGATGATATTGTCTCAGTTCAATTATATCAGATACCTGAAATGGTGTAGCTGTGTTTTCCAAGACCACTCCTGCTTTTGGAACCTGACAACGTCTCCAATAGAAGGCTACAAATGTGAGTGGCCTCATCCTGGGAGACATTTCCATATCATTATGGACTGGATAATGACTGAATGGGATTATAGTAATATGCCAATATCTTTTGAATTTTATAATCATTTTGCTGTAAAGGATCTGTGTTCAAAGACCAGGGCATGGACTGTGATACTGTGATTTATAATAAGAAATATATATATTTGGTTTTTGTCTACTGATCCTGGCACAAAGATTCTAAAACCCTTGAAATTTTCTACGCAAGAGTCATAGCAGCATCTTTTGTTACAATATTTGGGTTTTTTTGTGTTCAGTTCCTGAAATGGCACCAGAGCCATAAAAGTGAAAGGAGTGTCTTGTTATTCATAACAAGTCCCTTTCAACCACACCTGAGTTTATGTTAACAAGGTGACTTTTGGAAAGTCCCTGAGAATGAGGGCAGGTTGCCAGAGGAATCAACATTGATTAGAGAGTTGTAACTTTCAGTACCACTCCCTTACTTCCCAGGAAGGAGAAAAGGGCTAGAGGTTGAATCAGTTGCCAATGGTCAAAGATTTAATCAATAATGCCTCTGTAGTGGAGCCTCCATAAAATCCTAAAAGGAATGGGTTCAGCGAGCTTCTAGGTTGGTGAGTACATGTAAGTGCTGGGAGAGAGGCGTGCTCAGAGAAAGCGTGGAAGTTCTGTGCCTCTTCCTATAACTTACTCTATGCAGCTCTTCTATCTGGCTGTTCCTGAGTCACATCTTTTTATAATAAACCAGTAATCTGTTAAGTAAATGTTTTCCTGAGTTCTGTGAGCTGCTCTGGCAAATTAATCAACCCAAGCAGGGGGTCATGGAAACCTCCTATATAGGGTTAGTCAGAGGCACAAGTGACATCCTGGACTTATGACAGATATCCAAAGTGGGGGCAAGGGCAGTATTGTGAGACTAAGCCTTTGGTCTGTGGCAATTTGATGGTATCTCCAGGTAAATAATATCAGAACTGAATTGAATTCTCAGACCTCCGACTTTTTCTGGAGAATTACTTGATGTAAAGTTTTGTGAGTATGGTAGTAGTGTGAGAGTTAAGGAACACTTGGAGTGAGTTTTTCCTTTAGATCTGGGTTTTCTTTTTGTCTCATATATGCTGGACTAGGTGCTGGAGAAGCCAGAAGTCTAGAAATGCCAACAAGAGAAAACAAACAAACAAACAAAGTCTCTGAGAAAGCCTGCTCTCTCTAGTCAAGAAAGGAATAGGGGCAGCCTTAGTAAGACAGAAAACTTTTAGGCAATAACAGGTCTACTGCAGCCAAATAGCATGGGATAAATTGCAGCCCCATTTCCACTAGGAATAGCAGAATGGGAGCATAGACTTCCACCCTTGCCTAGCTGTAACAAAGCACTCCTCCATCCCTGCTAAATGGAGAGCCAGGACCTTCTTCCTATCCCAGCAGTAATGTACCCAGACACACAAGTGTTACTAGAGACATATGGAGAGCCTGTCCACTTCCACCCAGTAGTAATGATGTGTCTGAGGGGCATTAATGAAGCACTTATGTCTTACTTAGTCAGGATAAGTCAGTGGAAGTCTGTGGGGAGTGTGAGCTCCTACTCTAGCCTAGCAGTTAATGAGGAACACTCCTCCAGTTTGTCAACAGAGGCCAAGTAAGGCTTCTACCTTACACCTGGCAGCAACAAAGTGCTGTCCCATCTCCTTACTGGTACAGTGTCAAGGGAAGCTTGCTAAAATAGAAGATTTAAATAAGATCCACAGTCTGTGACATAATACCCCAAATGTGCACAATAGAAAAATCTAGCATACCAAAAATCAGGAAAACTTCACTTTCAATGTGACAAGACAATCAACAAACACCAATACTGAAATGACACAGGTTATAATTATCTGACAAAGATTTCAAAGCAGCCATCGTAAAAATGCTTCACTATCCTTTTATGAACATCCTTGAACCAAATGAAAAGATAGAAACTCTTAGCAGAGAAATAAAAAGTATCAACAAAGAAAGAGAAGATACAAAAAAAGAATGGAAACTTTAGAATTGAAAAATACCATAACCAAATAAACATAATGGATAGACTCAATAGCAAAATAGAGAGAACAGAGAAAAGAATCAGTGAACTTGAATATAGAATAGAAATTATCCAATATAAACAAAAGAGATAAAAATAGACTTCAAAAAAAATGAGCCTTACCTTACTGAGACAGACTATATTCTAGACATGTGGGACCACAAAAAAGATTTAACATTACTATCACCATATTTCTAGAATGAGAGGAGAAATAGAGTGGGGCTGAAAAAGTATTGGAAGAAATAATGTATGAAAATTTCCCAAATTTGGTGAAAGACATAAATCTACAGATTCAAGAAGCTGAGCAAACCCCAAAAGAAGAAAACTCCCCCTAAATCCATGTCAACACATAATCATAATCTTAATCAAATTTATGAAAACTAAAGGGAGAAAAAATCTTGAAAGAAGCAAGAGAGAAATGAAATCTTACTTATAAGAGAAAAACAATTTGAATTATAGTAGATTTTCCATCAAAAATTATGGAAACCAGAGAATATTGTGGTTCTTATTCAGAAAATGTGCTACATTCTTCTAGTGTCCATGGTTTCTGATGAAAAATCATGGAAGAAAGTTGTCAACCCAGAAACCTACATCCAGAGAAATTATCATTCAGACATGAAGGGGAAATTAAGACATTCTTAGATGAAGGAAAATCAAATGATTTGTCAATAGCAGCCTTACTCTAAAAGAATGGATAAAGGAAGTTCTTGAAATTAAAAAAAAAAAAAAGGAACCTTGGACTACCAGGAAAGAAAAAAGCACACTGGAAATATATCAACATAGTAACTTTCCTTCTCCTCTTGACTTTTCTAAATTATATTTGATCAACTGAAGTAAAAAGTATGATATTGTTTGATGTGTTTCTCAATATACAGGGAGGAAATATTTAAGACAATTATAAACAGGAGAGGAGAAACAGACTTAAAAGTAAATAAGGCTTCTAATACTTCACCCAAACTAGTAAAAATGTCAACACTAGCATACTATAATATATATATGTAATACATATTAGGCTCAACTTACGTCTTTTGCCTAGAGAAACCACTAAAAAAATCTATATGAGGAGATAAACTAAAAAACACTATAGACAAATCAAAATACAATTCTATAAAATGTTCACGTAGTTCACAGGAAGCTTTCTCTTTTTTGGAAAAGAATAAGGAAGAAAGATTAATAGAGAAAACAGAAAACAAAAAATAAAATGGCAGACTTAAACACTAACATGTCAATAATTACCTTAAATGAGAATGGTCAACAATTATTTAAAATATAGAAATCAGTAGTGGACAAAAAAATATGATGCAACTGTGTGCTGTCAACAAGAAACTCATTTCAAATATAATGATATATGTAGGTTGAAAGTAAACGGATGTCAAAAGGTATACCACACAAACAGT